CCACGCGGCTGCCGCCCCGCCGCCTCCTGCTCAGGCGCCCTGCCGTCGTCGCCGTCACCGCGGGGCTCGGGGAAGTGGACCCCAGGCTTGGCCTCGGCCTCCCGGAGGTCCCCGCCAGTAGCACCTCCCGGAGGGGCCGCTCTGCTGAGCACATAGTGGTAGCTGAAAGCAGAGCCGCCGGCACTCGGGGGTTTGTGGCCGCCCTGCTCCCGCCGCTCGACCCTGGAAACCCTCTCCAGCACGGGGCAGCGGGACTGCCCACTGGGAGGGGGCTGTGGGGCCGGGGCGCCGCCAGAACTGAGCCTCCTCGGGGCCGGGCCGGAAGTCCGCTGATGCGCCGCGCTGGGAGGCTCTTCACACACACAGGTCGCCACACTGGCTCTCTCGTCCGTCCGAGGGTAGGACACTGGCCTGTCCGAGTGGCCCCTGTGGTCAGCTTTCCTCTCGGGGCCTTCTGCCTTGGTGCTGACCGCACAGGTGGGCCTGCCGCTGGAAGAACCCACCGGGGCTCCCCCTCCCAGCTCCAGACTGCTCTGCCTTCTGAAGCTCTCCGGAATGTTCTGGAGCGATGAGAATGCTGACCTGGTCCTGCCGAAGTTGCCTTCTCGCTCCAGCTTTTGCCAGAAGTTGGCGTTGTGGTCTTCCTGGAAGTCACGGTCCCAGAGCTCCAGAGGCCTGCAAGGCTTCTGGTCTTCACCCACTCTCCAGGCCGGGGCCTGAGAGGGTTTGAGGCTGTGTGAATTAGAACACGGTTTGTTGCTAGGAGCGCTGTTCCTCTCACTGGGATGTGGGCTGTTGCCTTGGGGAGGTGTGAGGTGGTTGTTCAGGGAGGAATCCTCCTCATTTTCAGGCACTGAAGAAAAATGGACTTTGTAGGGGACGTACTTGGCTGCAGTTTCTGGCCTCCTCTCCACTGCGGACAGTGAGTCACGTTCCAGAGGCTGGTAGAAGGCAAACCCAGGCCTGCTGGCCCCGCTCTGGTTCCCATTCTCATCAAAGGCAGCTGTCCTGCTGCAGGCTTCCTGTGGGGCGGTGTACCCACTCTCCTTGGCCAGTGCGGGATAAAGCGTTCCATTACTGTTCAGAGAAACCTGGGGCGCCTGGGCAAAGTGTGGCTCCAGGGAAGGTACAGGGTAGATGCCAGTGGGCAGCAGAGGTTGGCCAGGCTGAGCCTTCTGGGTGTAGTTATGCTTGGGCCTCACTGGTGGGCTGTTTTCCGGGCTCCTCTCCAGTACAGTGTGCAGCTGCTCTTCCATGAGGGGAGCCTTCAGGGAGCCTGAAGAGTGTGCTGGAGGCCGGCCGAGCCGTTTCTGATCAAGGCTCGACCAGGAGCTGGGCCGCTCTCGATGCCGAAAGGCTGCATAACTGTCACTCCGAGCTGGGGGCAGGGGCGCACCCATTCTGTGAGGCAGGTTGTCGGTGGCTGACTCCAAGGAACTGGGACACTGCTGGCTCCAGGACGAGGACGGTGCTCCCATGCCCTGAGGGGTGTTCTGCCACTTATCATAGCCCTGGCCATCTGCTGATACTTGGGACTCCCTACCCTGGAGAAGCACAGCGGAAGAGTTCACCTCATACTCAGCTGAGACGCCCCTCCGGGGATCATAGACTGTCTTGACATAGCGAATATCTGCTTGCTTCATCCCTTCCAGGAGGCCACCTCGGACAGTGAGAGTGTCCATGGAGCCTGAGCGCTCTCGGCCAGAGATGCCAGGGGGTGGGTATTCTAGGATGCTAGAACTGGTGGAGAAGGAGCTATATGCGGAGTCCCTCTTGTTATGGAGGTGGCTGAGCTGGTCGATGCTGCTGGTGGACTTGGCAGGGGAGAGAAGTCGGCAAGGCGGGTAGCCCCCGCTGGGCTCCAGGCTCTCCATGCTCCCCTGGGAGCTGCACCGGTCAGGACTCCGCCTCAGATATGCATGGTCGTAAGTGGAGAAGTCACTTGTGGAGGAGCTGGAAGAAAGCGAGGAGAAACAGTCAGCCTGAGGAGCAGTTATCATTTAGCAGGCCAACAGGAACAGGGCCAGCTTAATGTGGTCTTATGCAAGATGTTTGGCTTTTGGAAGGGTGGGTAAAAAGGGCCATATTTGGGCTTTGCTCAGCTCCTCTAAGCGACTAACTGCCCAGAGCTGTAGCTGATGTGCCTCCAATTAATCACTCAGACTTGCTGCAAGAAGAACAGGGCCCACAGAGGAACTCATGGCCTTTGTGTGCAGACAGCACACTGATGTGATTTGCTATGCTGGAAATGGCATTACGTGGATTTCAAGACATGGGAGAGGTAGGAGAGGAAAAAAGAGAAGAGGAGGAAGGACAATGATAGAGACTGAAGTTTTGTGTCTATTGTGTCTGTTTGTGGGAAAAAAGTTTAGTGAAAGAATAGGTACATGAAGGGACGAAGGAGACTTACATGCACAAGTATATGTTTTTAGTAAGGATCTTTTTAAGGAAGTGAAAGCTATGCCCCGGCAATTTTCCTACAATCTCAACTGTACTAGAGACAATCTGTGGTGAGAAAGCTAAAGACAAGGCCAAGTAACAGAACTACAGAGAGAAATTAGAGTCAGAAAAAGTTGAAGGAGGAAGTAAAAAAGGGGAAAAAACTTTAAAAGAAATCTTAACCACAGGAGGACCTTGGACACTGGGATTCCATCACCTGTGAATGTCAATGTATATAGAAGGGTAAGACCTTCACATTTACAAGCTTCTCCAGGCAGTTTCCAGACTCTGGCAGTCTCAAAAATGTGTCTCAAAACAAAACTACTTGATTAGCTAAAGAACTCTTAAAACTCAATTAAGAAATTCCCAATTTAAAAAAAAAAAATAATGGGCCAAAGACCTTAACAGACACCTCACCAAAGAAGAGACACAGATGCAACTAAGCATATAAAAAGATGCTCCCCAGTGTATATCATTAGGGAATGGCAATATAAGACCACAGGACGTCACTCCACACCACTTAGAATGCCCCAGTCCAGAGCGCTGACAACCCAGCTGCTGGTGATGATGCAGAAAAACAGTAAGTCCCTTCCATTGTTGGTGGGAATGCAAAATGAGAAAACCAAAATGAAAAATTGGAAGAAAAATGAAAAATTGGAAGACTTTCTGGCTGTTTCTCATAAAACTAAACATACTTTTGCTGGGCATGGTGTCACATGCTTGTAATCCCAAGCACCTGGAAGGCTGAGGCAGGGGTTATGTCTGTGAGTTTGAGCTGGGTTACATAGTGAGTTCAAGGCTGGCCTGAATTACATAGCAAAATGTTCTCTCAACTCAAACCAAGGCTGGGCGTGGTGGCACACACCTGTAATCCCAGCACTTGGGAGACTGAGGCAGGAGGACCACTGTGACTTTGAGGCCATCCTGGGCTACACATTGAGTTAAGGCCAGCCTGAGCTACATAGTGAAACCCTGTCTCAAAAAGACACACACACATACAAAAAACAAAACAAAAACAACAAACCCAAAAGTATTATTATATCCAGGAAGCACACTCTGCTATTTTTTGGATGTGGTTTGTTCCCCAAGGGTTCACATATTGGAAGTTTGGTCCCCAGGGTGGTGATATTGGGAGATGATATGGAACATTTAAGAGGTGAGAGTCTAAAGTCTCATGTACCACCATGCCTCTAACCCCAGTACTCCAAAGATGCTGAGGCAGGAAGATCACCAAGTTTGAGGCCAGCCTGAAGCATACAGCAAGACAGTGTCAACATCCCTCCAATTCCCAAAAAAGAGGCAAGGTCTAGCAGAGGGTTTTTAGACCATTGGGAGATCTGCTCTTAGAAGGGAGTAAGATAATTCTAGTGGGAGCTCTAGAAAGAGCGCGCTGTTCTCAGAGCAGCACAACCTGAATTGCTCCCAGGTTCCCATTCCAGGATGTGACCGCGTCTTCTGTGTCTCCTCACTGCCGTCACTCCATCTACCATCTGCTGTCATCAGAAGCTGAGCCAACCGGCTGCCCAGTCTTGAACTCCTAGCCTCCAAAACTGCATGCTGAATGCATCTCTTTTCCTTATAAAGTCTTTCACAAACTGCTGTTCATCTGCTGTTCTTTTACTTTTTATTTATTTACTTTGAGATGAGGTCTTGCTTATCCTGTTCCTTAGTGTAGACACCAGAGGAGACAGATAACCTACCTGCACCCTCTGGAGGCGGGGATGGGGAGGGAGAGGTGTGGCCTCCACTGTGCCCCAAGGGAGTTCACCAAGGCCTGCAGGTTCCTGCGAGGGTTATTCCAAATACTGAGGGCAGTAGTTTTATTTCTGTGGGAGAGGCCAGCACATTTTTTAGTCCCCAGGACAACTTCAGATTTAAGGCTTCCAAGGTTAAGGGTTAGAAAGCCCTAAGGATTCCACTGTTGAGGGTACTCTGTTAATACACACCTGCATTTATAAGCCTGTGCTGGTTCATGCCTTGACCTTTGAATTCATTACCAATTTTCACTGTGCCCCTCTGTCTTCAGCATGACTATTATAATTAGCCGTCATTTATTGTTCACTGTGTAACAGGAACTGCACGTTATTTTATTTAATCCTCACAATGATCAAGTGACACGGCTCTGATTTCATTTTAGAGAAAAAGCAGCCAAGATCAAAGAGGTTAAATGATCTGCAGTAGCTGGTGAAAGCGTTAAACCCAGGCAGACTTAAAGGCCAGGTACTTGGCCACTCCCACTCCTCACCTAAAAGCTCTGAGCCCCTCCCAGGGCTGCTTGGTAGAAGGGGTCTAGGGAGGGGACCTACTCTCTGACAGCAGATGGTTCAGGTGGACATAAAACACTCCTTCAGGCAACAGGGCCATGGCAAAGGAAAGGCAGATCTATAATGGGGGGGTCACCAGGAGTCAGCCCTCACCCTAATACGGTAGGAGGAGACAGCTGTTCTGTGTCCACCATTGAGAGATCCAGATCCAGGGTTTGGCCCTTGACTTGACCAGACATGAGCATAAGGGGCTGTGACTGGGTCCTGCCCTTGCCAAACGCACAGGTCATCTGCTAAGTAACCCTTGCAAGAGCTAGGCAGCGCTCCCCCACCACGCACTCCAGTGCTTACATCTCATTTGGACGTAGGGGCTCAAAGTGACACTTACTCATTCAACCCTCCCACACCCCTACCGTTTCCTCTCGCTAAGCTTTTCCCAAATACACCATGGAGTCGAGTCAGACAGATGCCGGTTGGTGTCTGCAGTGGGTGCAGGGGATCCTGACGCTTGTCTTTCATGTCTGAGGGCTGGGCTGGCTCCCTTTCCCCAGTTCCTCTCACTGGTGTAAGGTGTGATTTCCATACGAAATCCCTCCTCCTCCAGCTCCCTCTCTCCTGACCAAACCCTGCCTGTCCCACCAATAACCCAACAAGTGGAGAATGGACAACCTAGCAACTCAGCAGCTACATGCAAAAGCTCTGGAACCTGGCTTGGATTTGTCATGACTCAAGTACTGATCAGTTGTTCTACCTTAGACAAGTGACTTTTCTCCAAGCTTCAATTTTCTTTTTCTTTTTGAGACAGGGTCTCAGTATGCAGTTCAGGCTATCCTTGAGCTCACTGTGTAGCCCAGGTTGGTCTTGAACTTGCAACAATCCCCCTGTCTCAGCCTCCCGAGTGCTGGAATTACAGGTGTGTGCCACCATGCCCGGCTCAAACTTCAATTTTCAATCCTATAAAGTGAGGCCAACCATATTGTGTCAGCTTCAAAGAAGTGAATAAAAGATAACATGAGATCACTTATGCACTGAGCAGTCCTGCTTATCTTAGTTGCTGCTGTTGACCTAAGATAAATTGCCTTGGAGCGGGGAAGCAAGCAGTGTTCAAATGCATGAATAGAATCACTCAAACAAAAAGCAAAGAATTTTGACTAAAGCCAATAGGACACATAAGCATTGAGAAAGAAATCTGTTGACTTTTCTAATACAGTATTATAATGGGTAATTGAGAAATATCTGGTGGGCTCTATAACTATGTCAAGTGACCCATCAGTGCTCTGAGTATTTCCATCTCTTCAAGCTGATCCACCCCATGACATAATAATGACTCATTCACAAGGGGAGGTGTTTTAGGAGGAGGGTGGAGCTGTCTTTCGCAGAGTGAGGGTGAGAAGGAAATGTTTTTTGAGCACACAATGTCTGCAAGGAACCCCTTGGTCTCAGTAGCGGCACTTACCTGGAATGGTAGCTTTGATGCCAGGGGGCGCCCACTGTGCCCTGCGATATCCGCATCATGCTGCCTTCTGACTGGTGCTCCTCAAGTCTGGCTGTGTGCCATGAATGAGGGCGGCCCGTGGGTTCACTGCGCCTGGGGAGACACAGGAGAGGGACCCCAAACATCAGCAGCCTTCCTGGCTGTCTCCTCAAAAATGGAAACGTAACCTAGTGAGTACTGCAAAGAAGACTCTTCTCAAGCCGGGCGTGATGGGACATGCCTGTAATCCCAGCACTCGGGAGGCTGAGACAGGAGGATGGTTGTGAGTTCGAGACCAGCCTGGGCTACAAAGTGAGCTCAAGGCCAGCCTGAACTGCAGAGCGAGACCCTGTCTCAAAAAAAAAAAAAAAAAAAAAAAAGAAAAAAAAAAGACTCTTCTCATCACTGTTACTCTCTGCTCAACTGTTTATTTCACTTCTGATATTGGCATGAGCTCAGGTTACATAGAAATGATACAAAATTAGCATAAGAGTCCCCATATTAACTTAGACTTCCTGCCTGTTACCATTTCACTATGAATGTAAAGCACCAGGAACTGCTCAGTCTTTCCAAGCCTCTTCATGTACAAAAAAATGACAGCACCGATCCCTTTCCCCTGAGGACTCTGGAGATAGGGAAAGAAGATGCCTGGGGCTTTTGAAGTCCTCCACCACACCCTGATGCCGTGAGTGATACCACTGTCTTATTTCTTGGTAAGAACTTTGTGGGGATGAGTAGCTGCCCCACCCTGAGTTGACAATGCTCTAAGCTGCTTGAACAAACTACTCTCCAAAACAGTTTCTCATTTTGCTTCAACTTTTCAACACACAAAGAACTGACCAGGCCAAAGGGAAGTGGTAGTGTCCTTCAGCCTGCAGGACTGAGGGAGAAGTCTGGTAAGGCGGAGGACACTTCCACAGAAAGGCAGTGTCAGGATTCTTTGGCCGAAGAGTGAGGCACTGCCTGCTGAAAACACTCGAGCAGGAAGACTGCAGGGGGAAATTCTCTGCAGCTTAAAAACATTTCCACATTTCCGTGGGATCTAGGAACCCACTTACAGAAGGTGAAAATCACAGCTGCAAATTATCCCCACTCATTGTACTTGGCCTTGAGGCTAAAAACCCACCCGTCTCTTTTCTATGATACACAAATTAGCTTCTATAATACAATGAAAACTCACTCTCCATACCAGTAAAATGTCATCCGTTAATCAGATCAGAATAACACTAGACCAGGTGCTGGGAGACTCGGGGTCTTGCCCTGCCTGTTACTAACTTGCTGTATGACCCCATCTGTGGTAAGCCACCAAGCCTCTGCTCATCTAAAAAGTGAAGAGATTAATCAAAGAGACTGGATTAATCTCATTTTAATCTGAAATAACTTTTTTTGGTTTGTTTTTGAGATAGGATCTTGCTATATAGTCTAGGCTGACCTTGAACTTGTTGTGTAGCCCAAGCTGGCCTCAAAGTTTCTATCTTCCTCAATTCTCCTGCCTCAGCCTCCCCAGTGCTGGGATTACAGTATAGGCAGACGTTACCACACCTAGCTAATTTGAAGTGACTTTTTAAAATGTATAAAGAGCCAGGCATGATGGCGCATACCTATAATCCCAGCACTTAGGAGGCTGAGGCAGGAGGATCGCTGTGAGTTCAAGGCCAGCCTGGACTACATGATGAGAACCTGCCTCAAAAAATAAATAAGATAAAATAGCTAGGTGTAGTGATGCATGCCTGTAATCCCAGCATTCAGGAAGCTGAGGCTAGAGGACTGCTATGAGTTTGAGAAGAGCCTGGACTACATAGTGAGTTCAAGGACAGCCTGAGCTACATAGCAAGACGCTGTCTCAAAAAATAATAATAATAAAAATAAAACACAATGTATAGAGACACTGAAGGGTTTCTCAAGACAGATGATGATTTCTGAAACATACATACATTGTGACTCTTAAAGGAAGATTATGGTGATAAGAAAATCGGCTTTGTATAAAGCAATAGAAAGTGGTGCATATAATTGTTTTACCAGTTATTTAGTAAACATGTTAGGCCAAGAAAAGCAGGAAACATTCCAATCTCTCTGAAGATGGGGTCGCTGGGTGCTGGGGTGTGGACTGGTCCAGTATATTCCCCCAGAGGTCCCAGGCAAGGCTTAGCTTCCAGCGCGGGGACTAAGGTGGTGGAAGATCTAAGAGGTGGGGCCTGGGGACAGTAACTAGGCCTCTCACTGGGGGCTATGCTCAGAGGGATTGATGGAGTTCTCACTATTCCCGCAATAAGGGGTTGCTATAAAAAGGGTTCACCTGACCCCTGACACTCTCTGGTTCCTGCCTCACCCTGAGGCCCTCACCAGAGGCCTAACCTAGGGCTTTCAGCTACCAAAACTGTGAACTAAATAAACCTCTTAGACTCACGTGATCCTGCTGCCACAGCCTCCTGAGTAACTGGAACTATGGGCATATGCTGCCATGCTTGGATGTAAACCTCTTTTCTTTATGGATTATCCAGCCCCAGGCATTTTGTTATAGTTACAGAAAGCAGACTATTATAGCTGGCACAAGGGTATAACATAGTTCTGAGATAGGACAAACTAAGATTCTAATCTACATTTTTAAACCAGATCCCACTGGCTTTTAGTTTTTGAATTTTAGGTAAAATTCCTCATCACTCTGAACTGCCTTATCTGTAAAAAGCAGATTACAGCAATCTATTCACAGGGTTTTTGAGATTTAAAATGTACCTGGCACATAGTAAGAGCTCAAGAATGTTAAGTATTATTATCCCGAGTCACTCGTTATTAATGAATTGACAGGCTGTGGAGACAGGCTCATCAGTGCCGTCTGTTTAAAAGGATGGACAGAGCAGAGAAAGAAGTGGAGGGTGAACGATGGAGGAGAGGCGGTGGGCACTGTTGGTGGGGCAAGTCTCCCAGCTCCAGCTCCCCAGGAAGATGCGGAGGGCCAATAATCAGGCTGGCCGCAGGCTTACTGTGGACACAGCCTACAGTGCGCTGGCCAAAGGCATGGAGCTGCCAGGACAGTGGCAGGGGCCTGAAATTAGCAGGATACACACAGGCCACAAAGAAATAGACCTTGCCCACTGGAAATCTACAAAAGAACCAAAGGAAGTGGTAGCACAGCTTGGGCCAGAGATGAGGGAAGAAGCAAACCAAGAGATCAACAGGATCCAGCATGTCCTCCTTGCCCCACACCTCTCCGTTCCTCACAGCACACCCCGCACAACCCCCACCTTTAGGCTCAGGGCTGCCCAGAGTGGATCAGCCCCTTCTCTGGAGAGCACCACGGGAGCCTGAGGCTGTGGCTCAGCATCCTGGCAGCTTGGCATTCTTGCCGCTAATGCCACTCTGGCCTGGGATGCCCAGCTCCAGAAACAAGCCGCCTCCTCTCCTCAGCCCTCCAAGGTGCTCAGTGCTCTTCAGCCTCGGCCCTCACTGACTCACGCTCCTGGTCCACCACATAGTTCTGTCCAGTGACAGAAATTCCTCCTCCTCCTACCTCCAGCCCTTCAGAGCGGGCCCAATCACACAACCAGGAAACCTGTGAGCCAGGGCCGAAACCCAGTGATGTATGACTTCAAGCTGGATGTGGTGGCACACACCTGTAATCCCAGCTCTCAGAAGGCTGAGGCAAGAAGATTGCCATGAGCTCAAAGCCAGCCTGGGCTACATATCAAGATCTTATCTCAAACAAACAAATGTAAAAAGTGTCTTTTGCCTGGGACACCCAGTGGCACTTCACACAGATATCATGTTTTCTTCCACGTTCTGTCTACCTAAATGAAGGGGTCAGCATGACCCCTCTCAGTAGCAGGACATGAGCCCTGGGCCTAAGAGCCTGGCCTAGAGAAGCCAATAGATGCTGGTGACATGTGAACTCTGTGTGGCAGCAATTCATGGCTGAGAGTGGCTCTCACCCTCCACAACTCATCCCCTACCTGTACTGAGGATTGAACCCAGGGCCTCTCACATGCTAGGCAAGTGCTCTACCACTGAGCTATACCCCCAGCCCCTAAGTTGCCCAGGCTGGCCTAAATTTGCAATCCTCCTGCCTCAGCCTCCCAAGTAGCTGGGATTACAGGCATATGCCACCATATTTGACTCTGAGGATAACTTCTTGGCACATTTATCACCCACCTGTATCTATCTATGCCTAACCCAAAGGTTGGTACTGAGAATATTTTCCTGCCCAAGGGAAATAGGCCCTGGTAAGTCCCACATGTGCTCCAGGAGGAGGAAAGGTTTATTTTAAACCTTAAAGGAGGCAAAGTTTATTTTGGCTTATAGTTTAAAGAAGTTTTAGTCCATAGTTGGCTGGCTCGAAGGCAGAGTGTCATGGTAGAGAGGAATTGCTGAGGAAAAACAGTCCATGGTGTGCCAGGGCAGGCAGAAGGTAGCAAGCAGCAAGCAGCAGCAGCACCAGCAATGGCAGCTGCTTTCAGTCCTTTTATATTCTACCTAGGTTGTATGCCTATGGATTAGTGCCCCACATGGGGCACCCTTAATCCCAGCATCACACCCTTAATCTCAGCCTCACAACCCCTAGATACAATCACCTCTGAAAAGCCCCACCTATGACCACACGAGGCTTTGGGAGGACATCTAGATACAAGTCACAACAGTGTCTCTTTTTTTTAATTCTCCAGCACTATCTCAGTATATATTACAGTAATGCAAAGCTAATAGAAAATCGGTACCGAGAAGTAGATCATTACTGTGACTGTACCTGAAATAATGTGGGGAAGCCTTTGAAATGAGCTTATGGGAGAGATGTGGCATTGTGGAGCAGTGGCCTGGAGAAAGCCAAGAATGCTGTAAGTGGGGCTTAACCAGCGATTCCTAACAGTGCTCAGAAGACAGAGCACCAACTGAGATGCACAAAGTCAAGAAACTGCTGGTGAGGTCTCAGGTGGAAAGGAGGACTCTAGTGGAAACTGCACTAGAGGTCATTGGTGTTAATGCATTCTGTCTATACCCTGAGACTCTGGCAAGGCTGGGCTTAAAGGCAATAGACTAGTTTACCCTGGCAGAGGAAATTTCAAGGTAGCAAAGTACCAAGGAGGAAGGGTGTTAATGGTACCAAGGTTGTTAATGGCTGCTTTTAG